ATGGGCGAATACGTAATATGTTAATGTGGGAACATCTGACTTGCATGACAAACAAAGAGTTGGATGTCCTGTGACAGCAACCACCAAGTTTCACAAGCAAAAGGTTGACAGATGGATTCAAGATGATCGTCGTATCACTCAGAGAGAAATTTCAAGCATAATCAACATATCACAAGAACGTGTGGGTCACATTATTGCTTTCCTTGGCTATCGGAAGATCTGTGCACAATGGATTGCGGAAACAGAATGTTGACTTCTTACGTGACAGCTTCGGAAAACGTGTTCATCGTTGGCAGAAATGTATCCAATTGTCTTCAACCCGCGTATTATCCAACCTTTGGATAGCATGTAGTGTTTCTTTGGCTGTCTGTGCCCCTATTCAAAAGATTTCACCTCACTTTCTGTAGCTGTGATAATTGGATTTTGAAAAAAATGGCTTTTCGTGGACACAAGGATTGGTGAGAAAGTATTGCCGAAGGCTTTCATGGCCAGAATCCCTGGGTTGTTGTAAGTTTTTTGGATTGTATGGCCATGTTCCCGAAGCATTCCCTTCTGACGTTTCACCTGCATCCATGGCAGGCATCCTCAAAGGTTGTGAGGTCTGTTGGAAACTAGGAAAATGGGATTTATTTATCTATAGAATGTCCAAGGTGGGAGAAAGAACTCTTGTCTGTTGGAGGTAGGTGTGAATGTTTCAATTGGCCACCTTGATTAGCGTTTAATGGCCTAGCAGTTTCAAAGTGTGGCTTCTTACTGCCTGGGGGAATCCTTTGTTGAGGGGTGATTAGCTGTCCCCGATTGTTTCTTGTCTTGAGTTCCCCTGTTTTTGAGTGTTGTTCTTTATTTACTGCTGTAATTTAGAGTTTTTTAATACTTCATATTGGTGAGGAAGCTTCAGTGGAGACAAGTTTTCCCCATGATAACTCTTTCAGGAGTAAATTTCCCTTCCGAGGGGTAGATTTCTCTCATTTTCTGTTGTCTCACCCCCGTTCTTAACTGGAAATCATATGTAAGTCAGATGTTTGTAACTTGGGCACTGCCTGTACTAACCAGGCTTGGGTATGTTAGCTTCCAAGATCAGATATAATCCAGTTCTTGCAGGATCCCCAATCCTTTTCAGCCCATTAAATGGTATCAAAACTGCATTCAGGGCTCTCCTTTCATCCTATATCCTTTCCCAAAAAACCAAACCCTATGCAGGGTGGTAGAAGCGGACAGATAGCGACTGGTCCAAGGTCACCCATAAGTTGCATGGCTCTGTAGAAATGAGAATGCAGATATTTGGGTCCCAGTTTAACATTATGCAACACTGTTTGTCCAGTGATTACAGTAATGATGGAAATATGATAGCAACAGTTATCCCCCGAGTTTTGTCTCTAGCAGCTGATAAACAGAGTGATATGCAGCCTTAGATAATGATACTATTTGTCACGCGCTCAGGCTGAGCTTGGGGAATTCTATCTCTTCTTGGAGACTTGTCACATAAAAGTGACACATTATTTATGGCCAAAAACAAAAGGTGCCACTGGAGACCTCTGATCATATCTCCTTTAGAAAAAAATATCTCTTGCATGAAAGCTTCTTTGGTGGAGTGCTATGTGAATCTGTGTGTTCGCTTTGATCAAAACATTCATGCTTCAAGGGAGTGCTTTTTGACCCATATCCTTCTTGCTATTTTTGCAGTCTAAATTTACCCCCCCCCCCCAGGCTGCTATCAGAACCCGCTGCTCCTCCACCACAACCCCAAAAACCTGGTTCCAACAATACCATTGGTTAATAAAGGTATGACCCAATAGGAAAGCAAAGGCACAGTTTCGAAATATTTTTAGGATTATACTCAGAAAATGCCTCAGCCAGAATAATCAGTGATCATGTTGGCTGAAGGACTCTAAGTAATCAAAAGGAGGAGGAGGAGGAGGAGGAGGAGGAGGAGGAGGAGAAGTCATAGGGAGGAGGGAGCAAACTTGTTTTCTGCTGCCCTGGAGACTAGGACATGGAGCAATGGCTTCAAACTACAGGAAAGGAGATTCCACATGATCATTAGGAAGAACTTCCTAACTGTGAGAGCTGTTCAGCAGTAGAACACTCTATCCCAGTGTTTCTCAACCTGGGGGTCGGGACCCCTGGAGGGGTCGCGAGGGGGTGTCAGAGGGGTCGCCAAAGACAATCAGAAAACACAGTATTTTCTGTTGGTCATGGGGTTTCTGTATGGGAAGTTCAGCCCAATTCTGTCATTGGTGGGGTTCAGAATGCTCTTCGATTGTAGGTGAACTCTACATCCCAGTAACTACAACTCACAAATGTCAATGTTTATCTTCCCCAAACTCCACCAGTGTCCACATTTGGTCATATTAAGTATCTGTGCCAAGTTTGGTCCAGATCCATCATTGTTTGAGTCCACAGTGCTATCTGGATGGAGGTGAACCACAACTCCCAAACTCAAGGTCAATGCCCACCAAACCCTCCAGCATTTTCTGTTGGTCATGGGAGTTCTGTATGCCAAGTTTGGTTCAATTCCATCACTGGTGGAGTTCAGAATGCTCTTTGATTGTAGGTGAACTATAAATCCCGGCAACTACAACTCCCAAATGACAAAACCAGTATTCAAACTTGGGTGTATTGAGTATTTGTGCCAAATTTGGTCCAGTAAATGAAAATATATCAGATATTTACATTACAATTGATATCAGTAGCAAAATTGTAGTTATGAAGTAGCAATGAAAATGATTTTATGGTTGGGTGTCACCATAACATGAGGAACTCTATTAAGGGGTCGTGGCAATAGGAAGGTTGAGAACCACTGCTCTATCCCAAAGTGTGGTGAAGGCTCCTTCTATGGAGGCTTTCAAACAGAGGCTGAATGGCCATCTGTTGGGGGTGCTTTGAACACAATTTTCCCTTCTTCTTGGCAGGGGGTTGGACTGCATGGCCCATGAGGTCTCTTCCAACTCTATGATTCTATGAGAAGGAGAAACAGAAGGAGAAGAAGACAGGGAAGGGTCGGAATTTTTAGGAGCACATGTTTCAATTTTTGCCAAGTACCACACTTGAAAATAATATTGCTGATACTGATGGTGGTGGTGAATGTTGCCTGGCATTTTGCTTGGGACTTCAAATGCAAAGATACAGAACGGGGGCACCTGGCTTGACAGCAGTATGTGTGAAAAAGAGTTTGGAATCCTCGTGGACAACAAGTTAACCATGAGCCAACAATGTCATGTGGCAGCCAAAATGGCCAATGGGATTTTGGCCTGCATAAATAAGAGTCTAGTGTCTAGAACCAAATAAATGGTGCTACCTTTCTGTTCTGCCTTGGTCAGACCACACCTAGAGTACTGTGTCCAATTCTGAGCACCACAATTTAAGGGAGATGTTGACAAGCAGGAATGTGTCCAGAGGAGCGCGACTAAAATGATCAAGGGTCTGGAGAACAAGCCCTATGAGGAGTGGCTTAAAGAGCTGGGCATGTTTAGCCTGCAGAAAAGAAGGCTGAGAGGAGACATGATCAGGGCCATGTATAAATATGTGAGGGGAAGTCATAAGAAGGAAGGAGCAGACTTGTTTTCTGCTGCCCTGGAGACTAGGATGCAGAACAATGTCTTCAAACTACAGGAAAGGAGATTCCACCTGAACATGAGGAAGAACTTCCTGACTGTGAGAGCTGTTCAGCAGTGGAACTCTCTGCCCCAGACTATGGTGGAGGCTCCCTTTTTTGGAGGCTTTTAAACGGAGGATGGATGGCCATCTGTCAGGGGTGCTTTGAATGTGATTTTCCTGCTCCTTGGCAAGAGGTTAGACTGGATGGCCCACGAGGTCTCTTCCATCTCTATGATTCTATGATTCTATCATTTTTGTTTGCTTTCATGTCATTTTTGATTTATGGCAACTCATTCTTTGCAAGAATTCTTCAGAGAAGTTTTGCCATTTCTTTCCTCTGTGCCTTCCTCAAGGTCTCATAGTATGTTTTCAGAGTCAAGCACAGATCCAGGCCCTGGTCTCTAGGTTTAGGTGGAAATAAATTGTGGGCATGAGCAATTTGAAATGTGCCAGTTCAATAATGTGAGACGTAATAAAAACCATGTGCAGTTCACCTTTGATCAGCCCACACACTACCTTGCCAGAGAAAGAAAATATGCCACATAGATGAACGGTAAAGAACAACTAGTTTACTCTTTGTAGTTAAGAACAACATATTTACAATCATGTGATCAGTGGCATTAACTTACATTGTGTCCTTTTAGAGTTATTTAAAATTTATTTATTTATTTATTTACGACATTTATATGCCGCCCTTCTCACCCTGGAGGGGACTCAGAGCAGCTTACAAAGTATATATACATACAATATATTATATTGGTAGCATAGTACAATATCAATATTTAATATTACTATATTGTACTATACCATTATATTATTATTATAATATTATTAGTAATATTACATGCAATATAAATATATAATTATAATATCATATTATTAGTAGTAGTAGTAGTAGTAGTATTATATCGCATTACATTATAACATTATAAATATTATATGTATATATATTATATTATATTATATTATATTATATTATATTATTAGCATAGCACAGGAGAAAAGGTGGACCTGTCCCCTGGCCCCCTCTCTCTTCTCTCTGGCCCAGAGCGGCAGTTGGTGCTGAGGGGAGGGGTCCCCAGCTGATGACATATGCAGGAGACAAGATGGAACTTTCTTAAAACTCTTTTAAAATTGTCTTTCTTTGTCCATGTGGAGACTCTCCCTCCAGCAGCCCATGAAGCAAGAGCACATTCCAAACTCTGTCTCTCTCTGCTTCTCTCTTCTCTCTGAGCAGCCTGAAAAATGTAACAGTATCCAAAGGTCCCAGGCTCAGCCATCTCCCCAGGCATGGTCCAACCAATCAACTTCATGCATCTTATTTTACAGTTGGCACACACACATTAACTAATTTTTTACATGCTTCAACATAATGGACTAACTCTCATTTCTTTTTCTTGTAGGAGCTGCCCAACAGAGAGGTAAGAGTCTACTTGCAGTGACATTTGCAATATTTTATACTATTAACTTTGGAAATCATGCCAGGAGTAGACTGAGGGCTTTTGAACTTTGATGAATTGCTTTGTAGATTTCTTGGGGATGCTGCCAGATTTTGCCATGTCCTTCAAAGAGAAACTATGTGAGTTTCTCTCACCTTATTATTATTATTATTATCATTATCATTATTATTATCTTTGTTCAAGGAGGCTTTTGATAATTGTCTACTGAAGAATGGGAATTCTCCCCAGTTGGGGCTTGGATTTTATTTAGTGCTGTGTTTTAAAATTGTGTTGTTAATGTAAATCTTATTTATTAATTTATTTTTATGTATGCATTTTATCAAAATATGCATACCCCATCCTCTATTTGAAGATGTCAAGGTGGCAGAACCGCCAGACATTAGGGCCTGGGTTTGGGATCTCCAGGTACCAGATGGGAAAGGAGGATGCAATGTCTCTACATCGGAAGAGCTGCAAGACCGAGAACAAGCCACAAGAGTCAAGACAAAGACCCATCCAGAGGGAAAGCAAGAGCACATTCCAAACTTCATACATCAAGGGAACCACTAACCGCATAGGGAAGCTGATGAGGAAACACAACATACAAACTGTCTACAGACCCACCAAGAAAATCCAACAAATGCTACGTTCAGCAAAGGACAAGAGGGATCCTTTCACTTCTTGCAGGAGTCTACTGTATACCATGCAGCTGTGGACAAGTCTACATAGGGACCACCAAACGCAGTGCAAACACGAATCAAGGAACATGAAAGGCACTGCAGACTACTTTAACCAGAGAAGTCAGCCATAGCAGAGCACCTGAATGAACCAGCCTGGACACAGCATATTATTTGAGAACACAGAAATGCTGGACCACTCTCACAACCACCATGTCAGACTACACAGAGAAGCCATTGAAATCCACAAGCATGTGGACAATTCCAACAGAAAGGAGGAAACCATGAAAATGAACAAAATCTGGCTACCAGTATTAAAAAAACTCTAAAATTAGAACAGCACAACAACAGAGAGGAAACAAACAAGGACATCTAATCACCTCTCAACAAAAGATTGCTCCAGGCACTGCCAGGCAATCAAATGCTAATCAAGGTGATCAGTTGAAACATTCACACCTAGCTCCAACAGACAAGAGTCCTTTGTCCCACCCTGGTCATTCCACAGATATATAAACCCTTTTTCCTAGTTCTAACAGACCTCACTACCTCTGAGGATGCTTGCCATAGATGCAGGCGAAACGTCAGGAGAGAATGCCTCTAGACCATGGCCATATAGCCCGAAAAAACCTACAACAACCCAAGGTAACTATGGTTTATACCAAAACCATTTGTTTTTATCAGAGGCATCATTTGGAAGCCTTTGGTAAAACTGAGACAAGTCCCGCATTTTGGGCCTGTCTGGATGAGCCCTCAGTTAGAAGACCAGGAGAAGGAGCAGAAGCTTGCTACAGTTTGGAAGGCTTAACTGATTTAGAGAGAAATTTGCTAATCTACCATTCATTGCTCAGAAAGCTACTTGTAAATCCAGATCTACTTTCTGCCCAATTCTAAAGGAATATGGAATGATTAAATGTTTGTTTAGCCTATGCAGCTGTTGCTCCTATATTTAAAACTGAGCAGATGCAATGTGAAGTTTCAATTCCTTGCTTGTTCCTCCTCCAAATGGCTTCTCTAAGCAAGAACTCATGAAACTCTCTGGTTTCTACTTTCAGTCACAACAGTGAGTTTTTTCAAAAAATTCACTTATTTATTTATTTTATTATTGATTTATGATATTTCTATCCCGCTTTTATCAAGCCCGAAGGCGACTCAAGGCGACTTACAAACTGGCAGCAATTTGATGCCATAAAAATCCACAATATACAATTAAAACATTTAAAACAGCATTATAAAATCAATATAAAATCACTACAATACAAAAACCATTAAAAATATAATAAACAATGTCTGGAGAACAAGCCCTATGAGGAGCAGCTTAAAGAGCTGGGCATGTTTAGCCTGAAGAAGAGAAGGCTGAGAGGAGACATGATAGCCATGTATAAATATGTGAGAGGAAGCCACAGGGAGGAGGGAGCAAGCTTGTTTTCTGCTGTCCTGGAGACTAGGACGCAATGGAACAATGGCTTCAAACTACAAGAAAGGAGATTCCATCTGAACATGAGGAAGAACTTCCTGACTGTGAGAGCTGTTCAGCAGTGGAACTCTCTGCCCCGGAGTGTGGTGAAGGCTCCTTCTTTGGAAGCTTTTAAACAGAGGCTGGATGGCCATCTGTCGGGAGTGCTTTGAATGCAATTTTCCTGCTTCTTGGCAGGGGGTTGGACTGGATGGCCCACGAGGTCTCTTCCAACTCTATGATTCTATCTATGATTCCTGTTAATCTCACTTTCCAGTAGCATTGTCTAAGCTGTTCCATGTTTCAAATTTACATAATTTTGTGTTTGTCTATTGCACTGCATTTCCAAAGGCTTGTTCAAAGATCCAGGTTTTTTTACTTTTTTTCAGAAGGTCAGGAGGGAGGGGGTCAATCTAAATATCTCTATGGAGGGAGTTCCACAGTCATATGATGTCCCATTTTCAGACAGAACAGCCCTCTTGTCTCCTATCTAGACTGCTAACAATATCACACTTGCTTCCTTTCAATAAAGTAACTCGCTCGAGAGCAGTACGTGTGAAAAAGATCTTGGAGTCCTCGTGGACATGTTAAACATGAGCCAACAACGTGATGTGGCGGCAAAAAAAGCCAATGGGATTTTGGCCTGCATGAACAGGAGCATAGTGTCCGGAACTAGGGGAGTAATGCTACCCCTCTATTCCGCTTTGGTTAGACCACACCTGGGAATATTGTGTCCAATTCTGGGCACCACAATTCAAGAGAGATATTGACAAGCTGGAATGTGTCCAGAGGAGGGCGACTAAAATGATCAAGGGTCTGGAGAACAAGCCCTATGAGGAGCGGCTTAAGGAGCTGGGCATGTTTAGCCTGAAGAAGAGAAGGCTGAGAGGAGATATGGTAGCCGTGTATAAATATGTGAGAGGAAGCCACAGGGAGGAGGGAGCAAGCTTGTTTTCTGGAGACTAGGATGCAAAACAATGGCTTCAAACGACAAGAAAGGAGATTCCATCTGAACATGAGGAAGAACTTCCTGACTGTGAGAGCCGTTCAGCAGTGGAACTCTCTGCCCCGGAATGTGGTGGAGGCGCCTTCTTTGGAAGCTTTTAAACAGAGGCTGGACGGCCATCTCTCAGGGGTGATTTGAATACAATATTTCAGCTTCTTGGCAGGGGGTTGGACTGGATGGCCCATGAGGTCTCTTCCAACTCTTTGATTCTTTGATTCTATGATTCTAAATGATGTCAAACTGCATTAATTCTACAGTGTAGCTGCCACCCTTATGTGAGACCCAAACTCCCACGAGCACTTCTCCCCAGCCCAAGGAGGACAATTGTAACTATTTCTTTTGCAATGTTTGGTAATGCCCCAGTCTCTCAGTCTACTTCATTCCTCTTAACAATAGGGCCAAGGAGGCTTCTCCTATATCTGTTTATTTCTTTTCAGACTGTGGCGACTGCTATCATCTCAGCCCAGGTGCCATCGCTGGCGTAGTTCTGGGAGATTTGCTCCTGACTTTCCTCATTGCTTTGGCTGTATACTATGTGTCCAGCTGCATCTACCAACGTCAGTCATCCAGCCTTGGTGAGGACAGTTCTTTTTTTGGTCTGCCTTGTATATCTGGTCTCTGTGTGGGTGTATCCCACATATTTTATCAATGCAATTGCCGTGGGTCCATCTTATGCAATTGTGGAGTTTGCAGTTTGGTGAGATACTGCGAGGGCTCTACAAGAGAGCTCTAGTCTAGTGGTTCCCAGCCTATGATCCTCCAAATGTTTGGGACTGCAACTTATTTATTTATTATTTATTTGGAGCATTTATACCCTGTCCTTCTCACCCCTGGAGGGGGACTCAGGGCGGCTTACAACATTGCATCCCAAAAAAAATTGAAATTAAAATATTATGACTAAAGACCTCATCACACTAGAGAATGAATCCACTTTAAATCTGATTGCTTCCTCCTGCACAATTCTGGGGTTTGTAGTTTAGGGAGGAGCCTTTAATAGACTCACTAAACTATAAACCCCAGAATTCTGCAGGAGGCAGAAAGCAGATTTAAAGTGGATTCATTCTCTAGTGTGATGAAGTACTAAAACAGCAATTGAACAATTCAGAACCTTCAGTTTAGAAACAATCCACTAGTTCAGAATCAAGGTCCAAGTCAGTCAATTGCCAGAAAAACAATCTCTTTCTAGTTGCTACGTCTACTTTTCAAATACTTGATCCTACAGACAAGTTTTCATTTTTTTACAAAAGGCCTGGAGGGAGGGGCCAGATCTGATTTTATTGGGGAGGGCGTTCCACAGTCGAGGGGTATAACACAACACCACCACAGACTAGCTCATCAAAATATAGAGGGAGTATGGTTGCTGAACCATCTGTCTATTTAAAAGTTAGGAACTGGGAACCACTGGAACTGAGAGACTTAAACTGATTTTTCAAAAGATTTCCGCTGCCACCATATTAATAATAAACAATCAGGCTGAGTCAATGTTGAGAGATGGTTTTGTGACCCACACTGTGTCACTATAGTTTTCTTAGAAGCTATTGGGAAGCTGTCTTTAATAACACTTTGACCACAAAGGTATTCACACTGAGGCTGGTATAAGTTGACAAAAATAACAAGAACGTTTATTGAACAGGCTTGAAATATTCAGGTACAAATGCTTAATAGTTTCAGTAAAATACTGGCATAAAAAGCTTGTGGTTGCGTGAGAGAAAAGATCTTAAAAACTTCTGTGTTACAAGTCTTAAAAGTTTCAACACAGAAAATTACTTCAGGAAAATGAATTTGTGAAAGTAACTCCCAAAAATGCCCCTTAGCAATCTAGCCAAAAACCCTGAACTAGACTTCCTTAGGAATTGAACAGACCATTAACGGGGTACTGCTCCACAAAACAGTATTCTAGCTATCTTCTCAATAACTATTCTGAATACTACACAAAAGACTGACCCAAACTTCTTCTTCAAAACCCAAACTGCTCTCGCTAACACCCACACTTCTTCTCTCTACCTGTTCCAGACTCCCACTGGCTAAAAAGGGACCTCAAGTCTCAATTTAAAATACACTTTTTTTCCTTTAGAACACTTAGGCTTCGCCCCTTCTCTCTATCCAATCCTAGCCTTCTGATTTTCCCTCCTAGACTTGAACACGCCCCTTTAAGGCAAACCTAACCTAAGATGTCTTCTCCCTATCTCCCTTTTCCAAAATGGATGCCATGGCTTCGCCAGGCCCACTTCCTTAGGCTTTTGCCAGCTAGCTAAGGTAAGGGATTCATTACAAGGGGCCACTACGGAGAAGGCCCTGTCTCTTGCTCCCACCATTCAAGCCTGGGAAGGTGAGGCCGAGAGCAGGGCCTCCCTGTATGATCTTAATGTCCTTGGTGGTTCGTAGAGAGAGATACATTTGGACAGGTAAACTGGGCCGGAACTGTCTAGGGCTTTATAGGCTAAAGCCAGCACCTTGAATTGTGCTCGGTAGCAGACAGGCAGCCAGTGGAGCTGGCGTAACAGGGGAGTTGTATGCTCCCTGTACCCCATTCCAATAAGCAGCCTGGCTGCCATCCGTTGGACTAACTGAAGCTTCTGAGCAGTCTTCAAAGGCAACCCCACATAGAGTGTGTTGCAGTAATCTATTCTGGATGTAACAAGAGCAGGGTTCTTGGATCCAGGGCCATACTGTCAAGAACTTCTGGAAGCTAATGTCCAAATCATCTGGGGGACAAAAAATGTGGAGCTGCTCCTCTAGTCATCTTATCTAAGCCTCCCACCAAACTATAAATCCAGCAGGCAGTGCTAGCATAGATGCTATCAGAAAGGGTGGTTTATGCACATGATATGGGAATGCGAACAGGTAGAATAATTCTGACAGACTATACAAAATATTAGGAACTGATTGGGTTTTAACAAAAGAAAAGGCGGTCTTTGTACAAAGAGGGGGAAATGGGAAATTACAGGGAAATAAAGGAAGCAATAATTGAGTGCACACAAGCGGTGATAGTATTGGGATGGAAGGACATGTCAAAATGGACAGTAAATAAATAGTGTCAGTATATGGTGGACCAAATGGAATTAGAAAAAAATGATGTAAAATCAGATGAGTCAAAAAGTAATGAAAACAGAATGCAAGAAGTTGAAGAAAGATGGAACCGGGTCAAGAATTATATTATGAATAAGTCTAGAGATCAGGCCATAAGATATAGGATTTCTCCCAGTTCCTGTTGTTACATCCCTGTTCTTAACTAGGATTCCTATGTAAATTGGAGGTTTGCAAATTGAGGACTATCTATACACATGTTGTCCTGTCCTCTGCCCATATTTCGGTGATTTTCTCACAATGTGGTAGGAAACAGGCCACATCTCGTTCACACAACAATCTCTCCCTTCTCTTTCTTCTTTGCAGACACAAAGACGTCTCAACATGAGTCCCACTATGAGGTGAGTACGTCAAAGATGTGACCCCTGGTCCTTGTTATATTCCTCCAAATGCAATACTAGCTTTGACAACAGGTGTAGCATCTTGGGGAACCAACTATGACAGCCACCATCTCAGAATAGAACTGAGCACTAACTTGGGTCTCATAAAAGGCACCTCTAGAAGATTAGCATATTTGTGGAAAGGTGGTGGCAAAGTGTGCGTCTGGTAGCAGCAACCAACAGCCATGCTTTATGAATACTCTGGTGGAAGCAGTGAGTGGAGGGCACCAGGATGATGACATTATGGCAGGGCCCAATAAGTCCCCGGCCTGGGAAGTTGCTGCCGTGCCTTGCTTGTGTAGCAGCATGATAGGAGAGATAATATCAAGAGAGATCCATTCTGGAGAAAGAAAAATACGGCTTTATTTCCAGCTGGGACCCTGGAGTGGAGCTGTGTCCAAAAGCAACCAGAGTGCCCGATAAAGGCATTGACTGTGTCTTTTATACCTCTACAAATGCAGGCAAACAAAGAAACATGCTTCTACATATGAAACATCATCACTGCATCACTTTAAGCATCATAGAAATATCAAATTCTATCTTCCAACATGCGAAAGGCATGTCTCTGTATTTCTTTCTAAAGAGCAGCATACAGCTTACAGCTTACATTCATCAATCAAGGGGTCTACTTTGACCTGTCAGGAGGGAGGGGGATAGGCTCCTTACTTAGAATTTAGACGCCATATTGTACCAGTCTCTGTATAGATAACATGCCCCCCTTCTCCTCCCCCATTTAACATTCCTTCTCTGTCCTGCTGGCTTTCTTATACAGAGAGAACCTGATTTTTCTTACATTTCAGTGCTGGTAAATTAGATACAATATATGCATAAATAAATATCTATTTTTTCCAATATATCCCCATCACTTGTAGACTAAAGTACTGTATTTGAGCCCTGTTGAAGGGATTTTAAGAAAAAAATGTATGATATACCAGGGCTTACCATAAACCACAATACAAATACTGTATGTACTCGAGTATAAGCCTAGTTTTTCAGTCCCTTTGTTAGGCTGAAAGAGCTCTCCTCAGCTTATACTTAAGTCAAGGTCATTTATTATTTTACTCTATTATTATTATTATATTTACATTATTTTAATCTATTATTTTTATTGCATTTATTATTTTACTCTATTATTATTATTACATGCATTATTTTACTGTCTTTATTATTATTGGAAGGATACGTAAGCATATTTGCATTAAAGAAGGTTAGAATAATGGTTGGACAGTCTTATCTTAAATTACAGTTTTATGTATATATTCAAGAACATTTAACCTCAGTTAATGTAATTTCATTGGTATCTATTTTTATTTTGAAATTTACCAGTAGATACTCCATTCCCCACCCTGGGTTTATACTCGAGTCAATACATTTTCTCAGTTTTGGGGGTAAAATTAGGTGCCTCGGCTTATATTCGAGTCTGCTTATAATCAAGTATATACAGTACATCTTCACTTTCTGCTTCTTTCTTACCTCACAGGAACTTCAAGCGCACAGACTGGATGTTTACAGTGACATGAAGAATCCTAGAACCATGTGCAAATAGCCTCCCACCCTTTCTACTCCTCTTTTGTGCTTCAGACACTTGAGAATACAGGATTTCTACTCTATCTCCTCTTGAGCAGACCGGCTCAAAAGTGGTCTTTCTAAATCAGGCCTTTAACTGTGAACTTTTATCTTTTTAGTCTATGTAACTTCCTCCAAATAGGCATTCTGCTTTGATTTAGGTTTGTAATTTTAATCATTGAAGATATTGCAGTGTGAGTAAAACTACACCATTGGTTGCAACACAATATGGCATTCATCATTGTATGCACTGCAGTGTGAGTAAAACCAAATGATTGGTTGCAACACACTAGAATCTCTCCTTCTCCAAGCATGTATTTTCAAAGATGTTCAGGTGTTGATTGATGACCAAGGCTGGATCTACACTGCACTATATCCCAGGATCTCATCTCAAATTAACTACTTTGAACTGGATTATATGAATCTCCATTGCCAGATAATCTGGAATAAGCAGATAATCTGATAACAGATCCTGGGATATAGCTGCAGTGTGGAAGGGGTCCTAATATGTTGAACGGGGTTAGAGGGCATGATCATCAAGTTTGCAGATGACATCAAATTGGGAAGGATAGTGAATACCCCAGAAGACAGGAACAGAGTTCAAAACAATCTTAACAAATCACAGAGATGAGCCAAAACTAACAAAATGAAGTTCAGCAGGGACAAATGAAAATACTCCACTTAGGCAGAAAACATGAAATGCAAAGATAGAGAATGAGGGATGCATGGCTCAACAGTAGTACGTGTGAAAAAATATTTTGGAGTCCTCGTGGACAAGTTAAACACAAGCCGACAATGTCATGCAGTGGCAAAAACAGCCAATGGGATTTTGGCCTGCATAAATAGGAGTACAGTGTCTAGATCCAGGGAAGTCATGCTACTCCTCTATTCTGCATTGGTCAGACCACACCTGGAATCACACTATGTCCAGTTCTGGGCATCACAATTGAAGGGAGATGTTGACAAGTTGGAATGTGCCAAGAGGAGGGCAACTAAAATGATCAAGGGTCTGGAGAACAACCTCTATGAGGAGCAGCTAAAAGAGCTGGGCATGTTTAGCCTCCAGAAGAGAAGGCTGAGAGGAAACATGATGAGGGCCATTTATAAATATGTGAGGGGAAGTCATAGGAAGTAGGAGCAAGCTTGTTTTCTGTTGCCTTGAAGACTAGGATATGGAACAATGGCTTCAAACAACAGGAAAGGAGATTCCACCTGAACATGAAAGAACTTCCTGACTGTGAGAGCTGTTCAGCAGTGGAACTGTCTGCCCTGGAGTGTGGTGGAGGCTCCTTCTTTGGAGGCTTTTAAACAGAGGCTGGATGGCCATCTGTCGGGGGTGCTTTGAATGTAATTTTCCTGCTTCTTGGCACAGGGTTGGACTGGATGGACCATAAGGTCTCTTCCAACTTTATGAATCTATGAAACTGAGATCCAGTCTTTAAATTAAGTCAAAAAGCATAATTTTCAATAAAGGATTTGGTTCCTGTATCCATTTTTGTCCAAGAACCAGTAAGTTGGATCTACAGTCAATCACACTCAGCCATATAGCATTAAAATCAAGTGTGTTCAAGAATAATTACAAACAGACATAAAGGAATCGTGCAGAAACTTTGAGACTCAGCAGAAAAAAGGAAATTCCTAGCATAAGCTTTTCTCGTTATTTCCTTCCCGGGTTGTTGTGGGTTTTTCGAGCTATATGGCCATGTTCTAGAATCATTCTCTCCTGATGTTTCGCCTGCATCTATGGCAGGCATCCTCAGAGGTTGTGTCTGTTGGAAACTAGGAAACTGGGATTTATAAATCTGTGGAATAATGTCAGGTGGGAGAAAGAACTCCTTGTCTGTTTCAGGTAGGTGTGAATGTTTCCATGGGCCACCTTGATTAATTGAATGGCCTGACAGTTTTTAGGTGTTTCTTACTGCCTGGGAATCCTTTGTTGAGAGGTGATTAGCTGTCCCTGATTGTTTCTTGTCTGGAGTTCCCCTGTGTCTGAGTTGTTCTTTATTTACTGTTATATTTTAGAGTTTTTTAATACTGGTAGCCAGATTTTTCATGAGTGGCTAACTGAAACATTCACATCTGCCTCAATCAGATAAGAGTTATTTCTCCCACCCTGGACATTCCACAGATATATAAACCAATTTTTCCTAGTTTCCAACAGACCTCACAACCTCTGAGGATGCCTGCTATAGATGCAGGCGAAACGTCAGGAGAGAATGCTTCTGGAACATGGCCATACAGCCCAGAAAACTTATAACAACCCAGTGATTCCGACCATGAAAGCCTTCAACAATACATGTTTCCTTCCTCATTAGCCATATATGAAACAGACCTGAAGGGTAAAAAAGAATGGAAATAGTGGAGTGATGGTAAGTATCCATATATGGCTGCTCATCATCATTAAAAGGACAAAGTGGGAAAGAGGTCAATTGTTGTAGGGATATTTATCAGCACTCCAGCACGTTTTGCATTCCTTTTTCACATTTCTGTCTCCTTCCCAGTTGTACAGTCGGCTGAAGCTTCATTCCATACCTCTGATGAAATTGAATCTACTTTATCAGAGGCATGAAACAGAACCTCCATGGACTAAGCAGAATTGTGTTTCAAAAGATTCTGCTAGAAATTTGCTTCCTCCCATTTTAGTCTCACAGGTGCTACTGCATGAATTCCTTTTTATACTACAGCAGGCAAACATAGCTAACTCTCTGAATGCATAATTATGTCTGGGCCCAACACAACAACTTACACTGAAGATGTTCTGGTTCTTTAGGGCACAGTTCTTTAAAAGGTCTTGTCATTGCTAGGAGGGCAGATATGTAAATTCTATTATATGTGGTTAAGCTTTTTGTCCTTCTGCCATTGCATTGTCAACTCAGACTGGTAGACGTTCTTAAGGGTCACTAATACTTGATTTTTCTTATAACTGAAGATCACAGGAATTGGACCTTGGGCCTTCTGCATGCAGAGTAAGTCCACTGGAACATGCCCATACAGCCCAATAATAATCATAATCATAATACAAAATTACCATCTGTCAGCTGCAAAAGACCACCCTACTGGGATCTGCACGCATTATTCACCAATACATCACATAGTCATAGACACTTGGGAAGTGTCCAACGTGTGATCCAATACAACAACCAGCATAGTGATCTTGTTTGCTGTATACTAATCTTGTTGTGTTTCAAATAATAATGATAACAACAACTCTGGCACAAGCCAGTCAAGGTGATCTCAGGGGTGATTAGCACACTGGGTGCAGTGCCTAAAGACCTTGGCCTGCACTTAAAAACAATTGGCACTGACAAAATTACCATCTGTCACCCTACTCGGATCTACATGCATTGTTCACCAATACATCACACAGTCCTAGACACTTGGGAAGTGCCCAATGTGTGATCCAATTCAACAACCAGCATAGTGATCTTGTTTGCTCCGTCCTCATCTTGTTGTATTTCAAATAATAATGATAATAACAACAACAACAACTCTGGCACAAGCCAGTCAAGGTGGTCCCAGTGGTGATCGGCATGCTGGGTGCAGTGCCTAAAGACCTTGCCTGCACTTAAAAACAATCGGCACTGACAAAATTACCATCTGTCAGCTGCAAAAGGCCACCCTACTGGGATCTGAATGCATTATTCACCGATACATCACACAGACCTAGACACTTGGCAAGTGTCTGATGTGTGATCGAATACAATAATAATAATAATATTTTATTGTGTCAGAAGCGACTTGAGAAACTGCAAGTCGCTTCTGGTGTGAGAGAATTGGCTGTCTGCAGAGACGTTGCCCAGGGGACGCCTTGTTGTGTTACCATCCTGTGGGTGGCTTCACTCATGTTCCCACATGGGAAGCTGGAGCTGACATATGGTAGCTCACCCCGTGTCACAGATTTGAACCGGCAACCTTCAGGTCAGCAGTTTAGCCAGCACAAGGGTTTAACCCATTGAGCCCCTGCGGCTCTAATAATAATAATAATTATTATTATTATTATTATAATAAGTTATTTATAGGCTGCCCTATCTCAACAGGAGGACTCATATAATCCATTGGAGTTACCCAAAATTCACACCCCCCCCCCCCATCCCCCTGTAGTCATAGAGGAAGCCTTTTGGCACTTCCCCCTGACTTTGGGAGGAAAGTGGTCTGAGCCTGCCATACATTGTGTGATGGCGCATGGCAGGCCCCGTCTTTTGCCGCAAAAGAAAAGCTGCAAAACTGGGCAAAAATGCCCCATGTGAAGAGGTGGCAAGTCCTCCACTACTGTGCTATAGCAACTCTTGCACAGCTCCTGTTCATTTCAGTGGGGATCATGTAGCAAAGGGTGCTTTCTGGGAGACTGGGCCATTTTCCTTTGCTTTAAGGTTGATGCTTTGTGGACTATTTGGGTTTTGCTTGTATGTTTGCATATAAATCCATTTTCCTGATTATCTTCTGCAAAGGGTTTTTCTTTTCAATTAAATGAAATGGTGCTGCAAGACCCTCTGGTGCATTAGGAAATAGGTGGCAAGTCTGTTCTTACATTTTGGGAAGAAAGAATTAGCAATGGTTCTGTCTGTGGTTGTTTTTAACCTGCTACTTCTCAGCAGCGGTAGCAAGGAATGTGAGGCCAGACTATTTCCTGTTGTCTTCTGTCTTGGAGCACAAGTCTGAAGGAGGAACTGGTTGGTCTTCTCTCCTTCAGCAAAGCCCCATTTTGAGAGCCTAAATTCGATGTTTTCGCAAGGCTCAGTTTAACTACGCACTATGTTAAATGGGAGTCGCTACAACAATGGTTCTCAACCTTCCTAATGCCGCGACCCCTTAATACAGTTCCTCATGTTGTGGTGACCCCCAAACATAACATTATTTTCATTGCTACTTCAGAACTGTAATTTTGCTACTGTTATGAATCGTAATACAAATATCTGATATGCTTGATATATTTTCATTCACTTGACCAAATTTGGCACAAATACCCAATATGCCCAAATTTGAATACTGGTGGGGTTGTGGGAGGTTGATGTTGTCATTTGGGAGTTGTAGTGGCTGGGATTTATAGTTTACCTACAATCAAGGAGCATTCTGAACTCCACCAAGGATGGAATTGAACCAAACTTGGCACACAGACCTCCCTCCCATGACCAACAGAAAATACTGGAAGGGTTTGGCGGACATTGACCTTGAATTTGGGAGTTTTAGTTCGTCAACATCCAGAGAGCACTGTGGACTCAAACACTGA